TCTCTAAAAGGTATGTAACCGGGGCATTGTGAACCAAAGGTGGGCCAGGAGTCACCGGGTATGCATAGATTTCAAACAGACCTGGGTATGCATGGATTTGAAACAGGCAATGCTCCGAGTCATGGAATGTAATCATAAACACATACGGCAGTTTTATAGTGATAATCTCCTTTTTTTCAGACAGGGTCTTGCTTCGTCACCCAAGTGGGAGTACAGTGGTGCAATCTCGGCTCACTGCAACCTCCACCTCTTGGGTTCAAGCAATCCTCCCACTTCGGCATTCCGAATAGCACCACTGGCTAATTTTTGTATTTTTTGTAGAGACGGGGTTTCACATGTTGTCCAGGCTGGTCTCGAACTCATGAGCTCAAGCAATCTGCCTGTCTCAGCCTCCCAAGTTGCTGTTATTATAGGGATAATCTTTATTTATTTTTTTATTTTTATTTTTTTAAGGAAGAAGGGAATACTTACTGAACAGCTAGTCCATGTTAAGCACCATTTTAGGAACTTTATAGCTATTATCTCCTGTAAGTAAGTAATCAGTACTACTAACCTAAACAAGTATGAACTGGCCCCGGTTTGTTTGGTTTTTTTTTTGAGACAGAGTCTCGCTTTGTTGCCCAGCTTAGAGTGCAGTGGCACGATCTCAGCTCACTGCAACCTCTGCCTCCCAGGTTCAAGCAGTTTTCTTGCCTCAGCCTCCTGAGTAGCTGGGATTACAGGCACGCACCACCACACAGGGCTAATTTTTGTATTTTTAGTAGAGACGAGGTTTCACCAAGTTGGTCAGGCTGGTCTCAAACTCCTGATCTCAAGTGACCCAGCCTCAGCCTTCCAAAGTGCTGGGATTACAGGCGTGAGCCACCATGCCTGGCCTGAACTGGCCCAGTTTTTGTTTTGTTTTGTTTTGTTTTTTGAGATGGAGTCTCGCTCTGTCGCAGGCTGGAGTGCAGTGGTGCGACCTCGGCTCACTGCAACCTCCACCTCCCAGTTTCAAGCAATTCCCCTGCGTCAGCCTCCTGAGTAGCTGGGACTACATGCGTGCACCACCACGCGTGGCTAATTTTTTTTGTTATTGTTATTTTAGTACAGACGGGGTTTCACCATGTTGGCCAGGATGGTCCCGATCTCCTGACCTCGTGATCTGCCCCCCTCGGCCTCCCAAAGTACTGGGATTACAGGCATGAGCCACAGCGCCCAGCCCCACTGGCGCAGTTTTATAGTTGAGGAACCTGAGGCTTTTCCAAAACAATGCAGTAAGTGGTAGAGCAGCCTGATTTCTGAGCCTGTAATTTCTTTCTCTACTACGAAGTCTCAACTAAAATGTAAAATAATTTCTTCAAGAAAATGAAAAATGATAAGCTCTCACTCCAGTTTCTAGTGATATGGAATGTGATGTTAACTTTTTTGCTCGGAAAGCATCATATTTGATTTGTATGTAGAAGAGAATTCCAGATGTTTGCTTAAAGCTCAACACCACAAAACTGAAAGGATTCTGGGCTTTGGTTTCATTGCAAACAGCAGCAAGCTCCTGACTGGGAAGAGCATTTCCTCCTCTCTGGGCTCCTCCACACCACATCTCTCCTCAATCCCCATGATAGATGGGTCCTCTTTCTCTGCCTGCCTCTTACAGTCTTCATTTCAATCTTCATTTCACTCTAGAAGCCCTCCGTAGGCCAACTCATCCACGCCGCGGTTTTACCCCTCTTTCACCTGTTTCCAGGGGTAGCACCTAGATGGCGCTCCGGGCTCTTCAGCGAACGATTCCAAAGCCTAACTCATTTTCTTCTTTATCGACTCCTCCCCACTTTCCACTTTTTTCTCCTGCATTTCTTTTTTATTATTATTTTTTGAGATGGAATCTCACTCTGTTGCCCAGGCTGGAGGGCAATGGCGTGATCTTGGCTCCTGCAACCTCCACCTCCCGGGTTGAAGCGATTCTCCTGTCTCAGCCTCCCGAGTAGCTGGGATTACAGGCGTGCACCACCAGTCCCGGCTAATTTTTGTATTTTTAGTAGAGACGGGGTTTCACCATATTGGTCAGGCTGGTCTCGAACTCTCGACCTCAGGTGATCTGCCCGCCTCAGCCTCCCAAAGTGCTGGGATTACAGGCATGAGCCACCACGCCCGGCTCTCCTGCATTTCTGTGTTGACTTTCTTAGGGATGATAATGGTATTCTAGTCAGCTAGAAAGTCGTTTATCTTAGGCAGTGAGTACATGCTTAAATTTTTAGGGACAAAAGCCTTATATCTGTAACTTGTTTTTTTTTTTTTTTTTTTTTTTTTTTGAGACAGGATCTTACTTGCGTTGCCCAGGCTGGAGTGCAGTAGCGCAAGATCAAGGCTCACTGCAGCCTTGACCTCCCAGGCTCAGGCAATCCTCCCACCTCAGCCTCCCAAATAGCTGGGACCACAGGTGTGCACCACCACCTCTGGCTCATTTTTGCATTTTTAGGGGAGATGGGGTTTCACCATGTTGCCCACACTGGTCTCAGACTCCTGGACTCAAGCCATCTGCCCGGCTTAGCCTCCCAAAGTGTTGGGATTATAGGCATGAGCCACTGCACCTGGCCTCAACGAGTTCATTTTTGAAAAGCATACATATACAGGGAGATACAGCAAATGTGGCAAACTGTTAATTGATAAGAAGTATGAGGATCCATCTTTCAACTTCTCTGCATATTTGAAAAATTTCAAAATAAAATATTTGAGGGAAATGCTAAGAACACAACAAAACCCAAATCTTTTGAAATTTAAGCATCAACATTGCTTTTGACCTCTCTCCCTCCCAAACCTGCAGAAGAGTACCTCCCATTGCCATGTTCGCGCCACCACATTTCAATCAGGTTTGTGTTTTAAAGTTGAAAGCCACAGTCATCCTTCGAAAAACACTCTATACTTTGCTCTCTTAGTTGACCAACTATCACTAGGCTGTAAATTTTTATTTGTGCGAATGATATTACATTCGACTTTAGAAGCTTAAGCAAATAAAAATGTGCTTCCCAATTGCTGCGTGTAATTCCTTGAGATCGACTGTCAGAGCCTTTCATGAGATGACTTGAGGTGATAAGGAAGCAACAGAAGTTGGCAGCAGTCTTGCTTTAATCCTCTCAGAGTTGCCAAGTTCCTGGCAAGACCTAGTTATTTTTTTATTGCTGTGAAGGTAACACTGGAGCCCCCAAAATGATACCCCAAATGAAGGCCGCAGAAGAAAAGTTTCTCTGCCCTCTTGTCTGTTGCCCCTGATTCTCCCCCAGGTGAGCCATAGAAACCAGAATTCCTCTTCTCCAAGGCGGGTCATAGAAGGCAGAATCCGTTTTCCTGAAAGCCATAAAACCTAAAGACACTGCTCTTAAATCTCCCCCACCTTTCTGTGTAACAGCTGGCCATAAAGAAATTAAGACACTCATTCCAGAGGGATCCTACCCCCACACCTGGCAGGGGTAATGCTGCAGACAGACCTTGGTGAGCTTCCCCATGAAGTCTATTCTAATAGCATTCGGACCATGCCCTTTTTGTCCATATTTCTACATGTCCAATCATATTTCTACATTGACTTTTCATCGAACATAAGCATAAAAATGAATAGTTTTCCCTATTATCTTTGGGTCTTCATTCCAAAGGCTACCATGTCAAGTAAAACTGTAAGTTTGTTATGCTTTTCCTTGTTAACCTGTCTTTTGTTATAGGGGTGTCAGCCATGATCTAATGGAGAGGAAAGGGATCACTCCTTTCCTCAAGTGATCAGGCGGGTGGATCACTTGAGGTCAGGAGTTCAAGACCAGCCTGGCCAACATGGCAAAACCCTGCCTCTACTAAAAATACAAAAATTAGCCAGGTGTGGTGGTGGTGCATGCCTGTAATCCCAGCTACTGGGGAGGCTGAGGCATGAGAATTGCTTGAGCCCAGGAGGTAGAGGTTGTGAGATGGTGCCACTGCACTCCAGCCTGTCTAGTCAGGGTGACACAGCAAGACCCTGTCTCAAAAAAAAAAAAAAAAAGAAAAAAGAAAAAAAGTTAATGAACTTAGGTACCTACTTAGGAGAACCGAAAATATATGGCCACACAAAAATTTGTATATGGCTGTTCATAGCAGCATTATTCATAATAGCCAAAAAGTAGAAACAACCCAAATGTTCGTCAGCTTACCAATGGATGAGCAAAAATGGCATATCCTTACATTGGAACAGTACTATCAGAAAAAGTAATGCAACACTGAATATAGACATGGTACAACATGAATGACTCTTAAAAACACTATACCAAGTTAAAGGAGCCAAACCCAAAGGTCACAGATTACATGATTCCATTTACATGAGATGTCCAGAATGGGCAAATCCATAGAGATGGTTTATTAGTATTTCCCTGGGGCTGGGAGCAGAGGGATTAGGACTAGGGAAATGACTGCTAATGGTACAGAGCTCTTTCTGGGGTGAGGAAAATGTTCTAGAATTAGATGGAGATGGTTGCACAACTTTGTGAATATGCTAAAAACCACTGAATTGTGCAATTTAAATGGGTGAATACTATGGCATGTGAATTATATCTCCATTTTAAAAAGAAGTTAATGAAAAGTAACTTTCTTATTTCATTTTTAAGGACAGTCAGGGGAGCCCAGGGGCATGTTGGATATGAGTGTATCTCTAGCCTTCAAGTTACCATTGGCCAGAGGGAAGAGTGGCCCCAAACTCTGAAGGGTGCTGGCAAGGTTCCCCATCTTCCCCTCCCCAGCCCCCACAGGAACATCACAGTATGACTTGGCATCTTTAGGGCAGATCTCAGTATGCCTTGCACTCCAGCCCACCTCCAGAATCCCAGCACTTCCTCCAAGATCAATCCTCCTGTGAGTCTCCAACCTCATCCCCACTTCATTTTCCTCATTGTACTTACCATCTTTTATTCGTATCCCACCAAATTTTGGCTTTGTTAGCTATACTGCAAACAGTAGGTGCTCAATAAACTACTAGTGAATGAATGAACTTGAGGAAAAAAAAGCTTATGCAGAAATCTGTACTGGATGTTATTTAAAAGATGAAATTTAATGGTTCAAATGTATTTTTCTCCCATAAAAACATTTTCTCTTCCATTTAAATATATATCTAATCTTTGAGAAATCTTGCACAAATGGCATTTTATGACAGATAATCTAATTTACAAAGCTTTATAAATTTTTAAGAAAAACATTCTTAGATCATAAACAAAAATTTCAATATGCAACATTCAAATTTACAAGAAAATAAGCACAAACTTTTAGACAATGCAGTTATTGCTGTGCTCCTTTAATTCCTTATCTGGAGCCCAAAAAATGCAGACAAACCCTAAAAATGCAGCAGAAGCACTTCCGCACACTGGTGTCCAGAATCTAGTTTGTGCGGAAATGTTTCCACTAGATTTATAGAGTACTCTTTGGAAGAAAGAGGCGAGGGCTGGTCATTTGGTCGCCCTTCGGACCTTTTGCAGGTCTTCAATGGGCTTCCATTGTTGGTTGATTGTTATAAGCTGAAGGGAAAAAAGGAAAAAAAAATTGTGTTAAAAATTTGACTTTCATTTGCATGTCCCTCTTTGGGATTTGTCCACACTCTCCTTTAGAAGAAGCATCACCATTGTGTTTGTACCTACCTCTTTCCATCTCTAAAACATGCACAAAATAGTAACGTGAGATTTTTTCTATCAGCCCATCTTTTTAAAAAGCCCTTGGGTTCCTAAGTGTTATGCAATCAGAGGGAAAGATCAAACATATGTGCCCTACTTTCACTTAGCAGTATCCAGATTTTTTAAAGACAGAGTCTTGCTGTGTTGCCCAGGCTGGAGTGGAGTGGCACAACTGCAACTCACTGCAGCCTCTGCCTCCCAGGTTCAAGCCATTCTCGTGCCTCAGCCTCTCCAGGAGCTGGGTTTACAGCGTGCCACTATGCCCAGCTGATTTTCATATTTTTAGTAAAGATGGGGTTTCACCATGTTGGCCAAGCTGGTCTTGAACTCCTGACTTCAAGTGATCCACCCGCCTGGGCCTCCCAAAGTGTTGGCACTACAGGTGTGAGACACCGTGCCTGGCCAGTATGCAGATTTTAAAGTTTGCCATGTATTATGTGAGCCATAAGTTCCAAAAGTGTATGTGCTCCTCATAAGCGGATGGACAATGCTCCTGGCCTAGAGGAGGCTCTTAAAATTTCCTCATTTTAATTACTCGATGAAGGCACAATTGATCTAAGTTACACAATAAGAGTAAGGTACTAAATCTATTTTGCTGACAAAGGTGCTAAGGTTTGGGCAAAATGGAAATCATTTGTTTTTAATTTAACAGTACCTTTTGCGGTATAGTAGGATCCACGGTTTCCCAAGGTTCTGGATTTCTTTTTCGATCAAGGCTAAAATTAATAGAAAGCCAATTAAACATTAAAATATGTGGATTTAAACCAACACTGATACTGGGTCTATAAACGTGCTAGGGACAAAACCAATCTCATACTTAGGCATTTGTCTACTAATGATCAGGAACCATCAGTAGTAACTAAAATTGATGGAAAATTCTCTAAGGGAGTTTGAAGGTGTGGCTCAAATATTAAGCATCAATTCCTCTAAAGGGTAGGAGGTACTCTGTATTCTCTTGATGGGGCTACATTGCGGAAAGATCCCACAAACCGAATAACCATGGGAGCGAAACTGCCAAGCCAAGGACATGCAATAATGTTCTTATCTCAGTTTGTGGGAGGGGCATGTTGAACTCTGCAGGTGGTGAACTCCAGGGCTGTAGGCCCTTCTGCCGGCGGTTAGAGGACTGCCCTCTCCAGCCCTGCACCAGCCTCCATCAGTTTCAAGTTTATCTTTTCCTCATATTCCAGGATACATGTTTTTGTTTTTTACTTTCTTCTACCCAAAGTTGAGATTAGGTTCATCCTAGACAACTGAATCTATCAATTCTACCACATTAGTAAAAATCTAATAAGCTAAATTTTAAAATTTTAATTAAAATGATTGCTTTATTGTATATATATATCTCCCAAAACCACTAAAGAACTTTAAATTTCAAAACTTAAAAAAAAAAAGCAGCTTTACTTCACTGCCGGAGAGTGGAGGAGGGCCAATGGGTAAAAGAATAAACACAAGAAATAAACTAATTTGATTAATATCATGGGTTTTTAAATATTTTGTCTTTCTTTTTTCTTTTTTAAATTTTTTTCTAATTTTCATTTTCTGACCCATTGGTAGACAATATCATGAGTTTTCCGATAAAAGATGTTTTTTAACCCTGACTCCCAGTTCACAACTTAGCATTCTTATGCATGGGAAAAAAATAGGAAACTTCTATCGTACATTTCATAAACTAAAGGTCAACCAAACACTGCCAAAAACGTTTTTATAAATTGAGACCTACTTACATCACATCGGTTTTCCAAAGAGAATACACAGCAAAAGACGAGGCTCCACCCGCCGCCACACTCACGAACAGCACCAAGGGAATGAGCTAACAGATAACAGGTGGAGGGGACACATTCGGACATTTCAATATGAAACGTTTGAAACAGCAAAACAGCTATATTTATCTTATACTTTCTTCAAAATCTGTGCCATCTTTTCATCTTTAAAAATTAAAACTTCAGTCAAGATTTTCACTTGTTTTAAAAACTTACTTCCTTCCTTTTCATCAGGAGTTGGAAAAAGCTCATGATGACTTCAGCGAAGAATTGCCAAATCTAGAAATTAACAATCCAAAGTACGGATCACCTGGTGGGCGCCAAACCGTCCCCTGCGCTCCGCAAGCCAACCGCGGGCCGGAGCGTCCGCGTCTCCGCAGATGGGAGACTCACCTGGACGTGGGGCGGTGCGCACGGACGATGGTAACGCCCGGAACCCAACGGGCCGGCGGCCTCCCCACCTTATATATAGCAACCACAACCGCCCCGGGTGGGCCGGGCCAGCGCGCTCTGGTCACGCGCGTGGGGGCGGGGAGCGCGCGGGAGCTGACTCGCTTTCCCCGTTGGGCACGCGGCTCCCGGGCGCCCCCTGCAGGACATTGTGCGGCTGACGTGAAGCGGCCGAACGCGGGCGCTGGCGCCCCCTGCCGCTCGCCGCGGTCTTCCTTACCTGCCGACCCCGGTAGCTCTTGGCCACCCCTGGCGCTTGTGAGGAGTTTGAAGGTTTGGGGAGTAGGAAGTGGAACCCCTAAGAGGGGAGCGCTGATAGCCAAGACCTGAGGGAAAACCACCCCTTCTAAAAGGGGATCCGGGCCTGGCGCGGTGGCTCAGGACTATAATCCCAACACTTTGGGAGGCTGAGGCAGGAGGATCACTCGAGTCCAGCCTGGCCAACATGACGAAACCTCTTCTCTACTTAAAAAAAAAAAAAAAAAAAAAAAAGAATTAGCGGGCGTGCTGGTGCATGCCTGTAGTCCCAGCTACTGAGGAGGGTGAGGCAGGAGAATCGCTTGAGTCTAGGCCTTTGAGGTTGCAGTGAGCCAAGATTGCACCACCGTATTCCAGCCTGGGCAACAGAGCCAGACCTTGTATTCAATAAAATACAATAAAACAAAATATTTAAATAAGCAAATAAACAAACAATAAAAGGGGGTCCGGAAAAATGAGCCGCAGACCCGAGGGTCCCAGGAGAGGCTCCCGGGTGCAGGCGGGTAAATTAGAATTAATCCAATCACATTAAAAGCTCCAAAATGTGGTGCTGTGCACATATGGAGATCATTAAAATTAAATTGTAAAGTTTATTTCAGAATAACTCCCAGGGAGTCCTGACTTTTTCCGCCAAACAACAACAACAACAACAAAAACAAAATAAAACAAAAACCCTAGGTGGAGGGAAAACGAACAAAAGAATCAGATGGGGAGGTTGTCAGGAGAAGCTCTTTCTGCAAACGACCCTGCCAGCTGGCTTCGTCCTTGGGTTCCCTCCTAACTCTCCCCTAAGCCAGGAGCCTCACCTTGCAGTTTGTCGTGTGGCTGCAATGATAACAATTTCACAGAACCAGGGGCTGTGTGTGCGCCAGACATTGAGCCACATTTCCCTCGGCATTTTTGCAAGGTGGGTGCAAAGTCTTATTAAGACTGAGAGGGGCTCTGGTCACGTCACTGGTAAGTGGCGGCGATGCCATCAGAACGCAGGTCTGTCTGGTGCCTAACCCCATGGTTCTGTCTGCACCCCTCTCGTAAATACTGCAATAAGTAAAGGACCAGTGATTTCAAAACAAATAGTTTGAAGTTCAAGCTGTAAGGTAAAGTTAAAGGGCAACATCTTAACATTCCCTGAAATTGGCTAGACCCTGCTCTGTTTCAACCCCATTTTCGTTCTCAGCCTGGGTTTTGCAGTCAAATGGACCTGAGTTGAGCCTATCCCTGCTATACTTATTATTAATAGCTGACTTTAAGTAAACTACTTAACCTTCATGAGTTTCAGTTTATATATCTGCAAAATGGGGGCAAACCTAGCGGGGGAGAGAGTTGGAAAAAATGTTAGAATATATGTAAAGCATTCTGCCCTGCTTGTAGTAGGCACTCAACAAAGTTACTATATGCAAAGATTTGTTTTTTTGTTTGTTTGTTTTGTTTTTTTGAGCCAGAATCTCACTCTGTCACCCTGGCTGGAGTGCAGTGGTGTAGTCTCGGCTCACTGCAACCTCTGCTTCCTCGGCTCAAGTGATTCTCATGCCTCAGTCTCGTGGGCATCTGGGAATACAGGCATGTGCCACTACGCCTGGCTAATTTTTGTTTTAGTAGAGACAGGTTTTGCCATGTTGGCCAGGCTAGTTTTGAATTCCTGACCTCAGGTGATCCGCCCCCCTCAGCCTCCTAAAGTGCTGGGATTACAGGTGTGAACCACCACGCCCAGCCTCAAAGATTTGTTTTATGTAAGGCTGATCATAAATGTAGGTTCCCACTCACTTACTCTGGCAAGGGTTCTTACTGTTTAACCCCAGAGCTGTAAATAGAGACATTTGCTGATTGGATGGATCTATGTTATGTACTTCAAAGAAAATTCAACATTAATTCTCCTTGGTTTGTATTACCTAGAATCAGAGAAGCCTTTTAATGCAAGACTTCTAAGGCTACTTCTGTCAGAAGGTTCTACAAAAAAAGTCTCATGTTATTAACAAAGAGAAGTTTTTCTAGGATGGAAGGAGAAGTTTTTCTAGGATGGAAGGATGGAGGGAGAGAGAAAGAGAAACAGGACGAAGAGAGAGAAGAAAGAAATATTACAGTAGTATTTCATGACCCCAAAATTGAAATTAGAATGAGTAGCCATTGCCTATTAATGACCTTAACCACAGAACTGTGCTTGGCCAGTATCATTTCTTTTCAAAATGTAATGCAGTTTTTTGGTAGTCTAGGCATTATTCTGAGGATGGAGGCATAGCAGAATTAAAAAGAGTAGTAAGACAAAAATCACTTACTTCAAGGTGCATGCAATTTGGTGCCCATAGATAACTCTAAAGCAAGGCATGATCTGTTGCCAAGAAAGGTGATTAGTTCTAACTAAGGGGGTCTGAGAAAACTTACCAAAGGTGGGGTATTTATTTGAATATACAAAAAGACAAATCAACTGTAAAAAGACATTTTGGGGGCAAGTGGGAAACTTAAATAGGATCCAGACATTAGATGATATTAAAGGGATATTGTTAAGTTTCTTAGGTGTGATAATGGTATTGCAGTTTTATATATATATATCTCGGCTCACTGCAACCTCTGCCTCCCAGGTTCAAGCGATTCTCCTGCCTCAGCCTCCCGAGTAGCTGAGACTACAGGTGCACACCACCACACCCAGCTAATTTTTGTATTTTTAGTAGAGACGGGGTTTCACTGTGTTGGCCAGGATGGCCTTGATCTCTTGACCTCGTGATCAGCCTGCCTCGGGCTCCCAAAGTGCTGGGATTACAGGAGTAAGCCACTGCGCCTGGGTGGCGGTTATATTTTTTAAATGGCCTCTCCCTTTTTTAGAGTTTATATGTGGAAATATTTAAGGGAGAAATATTATGTTTTCTGGACTTTACTTTAAAATACTTCCACTAGGCCAGGTACGGTGGCTCATGCCTGTAATCTCAGCACTTTGGGAGGCCGAGGTGGGTGGATCACCTAAGGTCAGGAGTTCAAGACCAGCCTGGCCAACATCTCTACTAAAAATACAAAAAATTAGCCGGGTGTGGGTGGGCGCCTGTAATTGCATAATCCCAGCTACTCGGGAGGCTGAGGAAGGAGAACCACTTAAACCTGGGAGGTGGAGGTTGCAGTAGGTCAAGATCACGCCATTGCACTCCAGCCTGGGCAGCAAGAGCAAAACTGCATCTCAAAACAAAAACAAAAACACTTCAACTAAAAAACAAATTATAAATATTTTACAAAATAATTATTTAATGTAGGTGATAGGTATGTGTGGGTTCGTTATACTCTTCTTTTTATGTATGTTTGGAAATGTTTAAAATAAAACATTTTTAAAATTCACAAATTGTAAGTAGTTACAGATATAATTTGTCCATATAACCTTTAAGATCTGCTTATTCCTATTTGCAGCAATAAAAATTAAACCCAGAAAGCGACATTTTTCTTCCTTTTCATAATGCCTGAGTATATCAAGCTTTTGAGAGATCAAAGTCAATATGTAGTTTCCCTGATTCAAGAATTATAACACTGTGCTTTGGGTGACTCATTTATATTTTACTGTTAAAAATATTACGGCAAATGCAGCAATTTTGAATTATTTACTCAATAAATTCTGTTGGCCAGGTGCCGTGGCTCAGGCCTGCAACCCCAGCACTTTGGGAATCAGAGGTGGGAGGATCACTCAAGGCCAGGAATTTGAGACCAGACTGGATAACATAACATAGCTAGACTCTACATTTTTTTTTTTTTTTGAGACAGAGTTTCACTCTTACTGCCCAGGATGGAGTGCAATGGTGCAATCTCAGCCCACGGCAACCTCCGCCTCCCAGGTTCAAGCAATTCTCTTGCCTCAGCCTCCTGAGTAGCTGGGATCACAGGCACGTGCCACCATGCCCTGCTAATTTTTTGTATTTTTAGTAGAGACAGGGTTTTACTATGTTGGCCAGGCTGGTTTCTAACTCCTGACCTCAGGTGATCCACCTATCTCGGCCTCCCAAAGTGCTGGGATTACAGGCGTGAACCACTGTGCCCAGTCTACAAAAAATTTTAATAATTAGCTGGGTATGGTGGTGTAGGCCTTTAGTCCTAGCTAGTTGGGAGGCTGAGGCGAGAGGATTGCTTGAGCACAGGAGCTTAAGGTTACAGTGAGCCATGGTTGTGCTACTGCACTCCAGCCTGGAGTGAGACAGAGTTTCACTCTTATTGCCCAGGCCGGAGTGCAATGGTGTGATCTTGGCTCACTGCAACCTTCACTTCCCGGGTTCAAGCCATTCTCCTGCCTCAGCCTCTCAAGTAGCTGGGATTAACAAGCATGTGTCACCACGTCGGCTTTTTTTTTTGTTTTGTATTTTTAGTAAAGATGGGGTTTCACTATGCTGGCCAGGCTGGTCTCAAACTCCTGACCTCAAGTGATCCGCTCGCCTTGGCCTCCTAAAGTGCTGGGATTACAGACGTGAGCCACCACGCCCAGCCCAAAACCCTGTTTCTTAAACAAACAACAACAAAAAACTGTCGCCAAAACAAATACAGTTGACCCTTGAACAACTTGGGGGTTAGGGGAACTTACACACCCCTGCTCTCCACACAGAAATCTGCATATAACTTTTGACTCCCCCAATATTTAACTACTCATAACCCAGTTTGACCAGAAGCCTTACTGATAACCTAAACAGTTGACTAACACATATTCTGCTTTTTATATAAAGGTCTTACAATAAAGCAAGCAAGAGAAAATAACAATGTTATGAAGAAAATCATAAGGAAAAGAAAATATCGTTCTTTTTTTTTTTGAGACGGAGTCTTGCTCTGTCGCCCGGGCTGGAGTGC